GTCTAGAGGGAAATATTCCTTTTACTCACACCAGACTCATGATTGCTGTCTGAGACCCCCCACTTCCCAGTCAAGACCATTGAAGGTTAAACAAATAGCTTGGCTCACCTGGAATTGGAGCACACAACTTTTTGAGAGATATTTTATTCACATTATTAAAGTAGCTGATGAAATTCCTACACTCCAAACCTAAAGAAATCATCGTTGTGTTCATTGTATCCTTGCATACTGGATTCTAGACCCCAATCCAGTTTGTAAATATTATGGGGCAAATTGACCAAACTCCTGTGTCTCAGTTACCTCATCTATAACATAAAAATAATATTAGAACCTTAAAGAGGAGGGGTAAAGATACTGTATGTCAAATGGTTGTTCACGGAGCATGTGCTAGTGTGCAATTATTTAAGTTTTATGTAAGAATAATTTTAGAATATTTTGTTGCTAAATAATGTACAACAGATTGTGGGGAAGTGTATAAGCTCATGATGAAAAAATATAATGCCATGTAACATCACTCAGACCAACAACTAAAATGTTACCAAACATCAGGAGCCCCCCTATCAGCACCCCATCTATTTCCCATATCAGCACCCCATCTATTTCCCATATCACATGTCCCTCTCCCCACACATGGAATAAACACTCTCTTATTTTAATACCATTGGTTTTTTAGCTAAAAATAGAACAGGATTCATCCTCGGTTTGTAGTGGCAAAACGAAGGAGCAATAAATATATGCCTTCTAGAGGGATGGATTGCAGTAGAAGCATTTTACATCCAAAACATTTATTTGAATCTGCATAGTTGATTGTGAATTTCAGTTAAATACCTTTGTCTCATTCTGACCCAAATACTAATAATAATTCAAAAATGACTGTACTCCTGCTAAACACAACGCATGTGCACCCTCTCCCCGATATAGATAATGCACTCACTTGTACATGCAAACACCCAGGTCTTAGTTTCCACAGTGTACTTAAGCATTTTTCTTGTGATTGGGCATAATCAGAATTTCCTTCAGTACTCCCTGGATTGTATGTCTTTTAATGTCTGCACTCCTTAATACTTGAATTACAACTAGATTGACCGTGTCAGCTATTTCAGCCAATCAATAGACATGCAGGACTTGTGGGCCAGTTATCAAATCTGTCTTAAGAATTAGCTAAAGAATTTAAGGTGTGAAAGAAGAAAAAGTAAACTTCAAATGAAAATGAGACGATCTTAAAAAATAAAATGCTATCTTAGGCAAATTCTTATGAAAGGCATTCAAATGTTAAGTTGGTAAATTTTTTCTTATCACTTATATTTAGCTTTAAAGAAAAACACTATTTCAAATAGCAGAACTGCAGAAAAATGTTATAGTTTGAATATTTAAGCAATAAAACTGCTAGTGATCATTAAAAAAATTATGTCCAAGCAGAATAAGTTTCATAAAATGTCAGAATGCTCTATCAGTGGTTCTCAACCTGTGGGTCGTGACCATCGGAAAACACATATAGCATATCAGATATTTACATTACGGTTCATAACAGTATCAAAATTACAGTTATGAAGTAGCAACAAAAATAATTTTATGGTTGAGGGTCACCACAACATGAGGAAGTGTATTAAAGGGTCGCGGCATTAGGAAGGTTGAGAACCACCGCTAGATAATTTTTAATTTAACTTAAATTAAATTGCTTATTACTAATTAAAAGTTGGGACAGTAACCCTGCATGATTTTAAATTACCAGTATGTATTACATCCCAAATAGTTTCTGATTAGAGCAAAAATGGCAACAACTTAATAATTGTATAAAATAAAAGACAGATACTTTGCATAGAATGAAGACAGCTGAATAAAATAAGCATGTATGGATATCATGGTCCACATGATCCGATTCTTACATTTTTCCTGTCTCTTTGTGTCTTATTTTTAAATTTATATGTGATACACATGAAAGGATAGATAGTAGACATGCATATACCTTCCTATATATTCTTTTAGCATATTTATATATACATATATTGCCTTATTTTAGAATTAACCACTATCCTAAATTTTATGCTTCTCATTTATTTAAACTTTTTTGTTTTTAAGTTTTTAAAATATTTTCTTGAATTTACTAGAGTTACATTGGTTAATAAGATTATGTAGGTTTCAGGTGTACAATTCTGTAATATATCATATATATATAGTACTGTATTTAAAAT